AAAAAAAAAATGGACTTCAGCGGCTGATTTCTATCATAGAGTAATAAAGAAAAGTTATCCAGTTCTGTGAAATATATACTTGTCACATACTAATAGATGAAAATAAGACATTATGACAGATGCATGAAGTAAACAAATATTTATGTAGGAAAAAAGTAAAATTATGAATTTAAACATGGACTGACCTAGATGCCAAAGAGGAACCTGATTGTGAACAGAGAATTTAAGAATATAAAACTACAAAATTGCTGGAATATTCACTCAGAATTCCTATCTTATGAATTAAATTAGAAGTAGACTGTACCTCTTCAAGCTCATGTCCCTGGAATCAGAGATGGGAGGAAGTTTTGAAACCCTCTTTCGCTGGTTCTCAAGCTGGGCTGCACACTAGGATCACCTGGGGAACTTTAAATGATGCCTGGATCCCACCCTAGAAATTCTGATGTAATTGGGCTAGATTGTGGCCTGGGATTCAAGATTTTTAAGATTGCCAGGTGATGTCCGTGTGCTGCCAGGATTGAGAACCGCTGGTCAGTTTCAACCACTCTTTTCACAAATGAGAACAGAGGCCCAATACTGACAAATTGCTTGCAAAATATCCATTAATTGGCTGAAGCCAATTTTCTCTGATGTGCCTTAATAGGAGGGAGCTGTGGCATGGATAATACCAAACTGAATAATCTAAAAATAATTTCTATTTGGTTTGGGAAAGCAGCACGTGACTTCCCAGCCACCGACTGGTCTGGCTAATTCAGTTTGACTCAAATGAATGTGCCTTTTCCTGAGGTTACACTAACAGCCCAGGCCTGTGCTGAGGTATGGAAAGAAAGCAGTCAAACTCAATATTGACCATGGTCAGTTCCCCAGCTGTCCAAAGCACACAATAACTCTGCAGACGAGGGGACTTCTCTTACCAGAAGATTCCACAGAGGGACAAAGCTAGCTTTTTCCTGACCCTTTGTTCTGTGAGCATTGGGCGCCTGAAGCATGAAGAGGGAGTGAAGGGAGAGGGGCTGACAGCTGTCAAGGAGCATTTTTGTGCCAGGTTTTGTGCGATGCATTCCTATAAACAGAATTTGCTCCAGAAAACTCTATGAGTTAGGTATTCTATTATCCCCATTATAGAGATGAGGAAAACGAGACTTAGATTGTATAACCACCAAAGCAGAACCAGGATGGAACCTCGGGCTTATCATACTCTGTCCAAGAGGGACAGTTGAGGCCTCAAGCTGAAAAGCAAGTTGCAGGGGCGCCTGGGTGGCTCAGTCATTAAGCGTCTGCCTTCAGCTCAGGTCATGATCCCAGGCTCCTGGGATGGAGTCCCCCATCGGGCTCCCTGCTCGGCAGGAAGCCTGCTTCTCCCTCTCTCACTCCCCCTGCTTGTGTTCCCTCTCTCGCTGTGTCTCTCTCTGTCAAATAAATAAATAAAATCTTTAAAAAAAAAAAAAAAAGCAAGTTGCAGATGGACTGGGATCTGATCCTTGGATTTTAAGCCCTGCTGAACAAACTTTGTCTCCCCATTTTTCAGCCCAAACAGCCTAAAGGCAGCAGCAGAGACCTCCAGAAGTACCTGTGGCAGCCGTGAGGAGCCAACGGCCAAGATGCCCAGCTGCTGCTCTCTGAAATCCATCCCTGATCCGAGCCAAGCCCACATCTCCCAGGTACCGTGCTGCCCCTCTCCAATGTCTGTGCCCAGTAGGGTACAAAGGGGGCCTGTTCCTGGGAGACCTGGGACAGTGACAGAAGCTTTGCCACATCCTCCTCAGACTGCAGGCATCGGGGATGCTTGCACCCAACCTTCCCTCTTCCTCCCTCTCTTCCCAGGGTCAGGTCTGCAGGGCAGTCTGACGGTTCTCCCAGCCTTTTCCTGTTCCTTCCCTGTTTTCTCTCACAAGGGTGGTCCCCTGAATAAAGCCTTCGGGGTGTTTAATCCCATGCAAAGCCCCACCCCACTGGCAACCCCAACCCATATACACATCACTGTGTGGGGAAAGAAGGTCAACCTCTGCTGACTCTTCTTGGGAACGTGGTCTGAGACTGTGAAGGTGAAGACTACAGAGGAACAGGTTTCTCAGTATGTTTGCCCTTGTCACTGGTCTTGGTGCCATGAAAGAAGACAGCCTAGGTGACAAATGATTGACTAGCACCTCAACTAGCCCTAATTCATTTGCCAAGAAGTTACCTTTTATTGCAGGTGTCCATAAGCACAAGGACCAACTTGGAAAGGCTGGGGGTTCTTTTCCGACTTTACAATCCTTCGGGGAAGACATTCAAACCCTGCCGCCTCAGTAACTCCTGAAGGGAGATTTTCTTGTCATCTTTTGCCCCTCCTAAAAGAAGAAAGCAGATAAACTATATATATGCTGATTCTAAAACACCTAGAACAAAAGTGGTGCATATCCACAGTCACCAGTATCATTTAGCATTGTTCTGGAAGTACCAACAAAGGCCACCAGATAAAAGAAAGGAAGAAGAGGTGTTTCTTTTTTAAATTAATTATTTTTTAAGTTTGTGTTTTAATTCCAGTTAAGTGTTATATTAGCTTCAGGTGTACCATATAGTGATTTAACAATTCCATAAAACACCCGGTGCTCATTATGACAAGTTCCCTCCTTAATGCCTATCCCCTATTTCACCCATCCGACCCCCCCTTCCTCTGTGGTAACCTTCAGTTAGTTCTCTATGAAAGGAAGAAGAGGTTTAAGAGAATTCATTAAGGTATAAATTAATACACAAAATACGCAAACAATAGTGCACTATAAATATAGCAGAAGAACTTATAATAGCACAAAACAGATTAATGTCTAGGAAAAAATTTAACAGAAATTAGCAGGGCTAATATCACGAAAACTTTAAAACTCCACTGAGGAACAACAACAACAAAAAAACACTTCCAAAATTCAAAGATACTTTAGCATTAAATAGAAACAATACTTTAAAATTCAATTCTCCAAATATCATATGAACAAATATTTCATATATTCATTTGACTCCACTCTGTATTAACTGTGTCTTTTTGTTTTCTGTAATTCTGAGGCTCCTGGAGGGACTGCCCCTCCCAGGTTAGCTAACTCCTAGAGAGAACAAACAAAACTCTCGTTTCATATGCAAACCAACTGTTCAGGAGCCCACATTTCCACCCACCCCCTTTATCACAGTCTGTATGAGCTCTCACACTCCCCCATCCTCCTTCCCTAATCAACCCAGAGCCAGCACCAGATAACCTGGCCTGCCCCTACACTCCAGAGCCCTTGGAAATTATTAAAACTGGCCAATCCTAAACCTGTTTACCCTCCCTCACCTCTTTCTTCCGGAGGAGATAACAATAAAGGTTTCAGCCCGCTAGTTCCCTTTCTCTCTATGCCTGAGACTGACCTCAGTGTGTTCTGTGGCCCTGCGTGGTGTGGCATTCTCCTCTTAGGAACTGTAAGAAACTATCTTCTCAAGACAATTGTCTCCTGATCTATTGGCCTTATTGAACCTCAACTTTTTCTATTAGTACACTGTATTTTAAAGCACACTTTTTTTTTTGTGCTAGTGAAGTTAATATGCAAAAATAATCAAATGAAGAAAACCATGAAAATTCTGAAAAATGGTAACATAGGGCAGTGGGGAGGGAGCTGGAGTGACTAGTGAAGGGTGGGGAGGCAGGGATAGCACAGTGTTGTGAAATGGTTTTATGAACATAGTGGCTATAAATTTCAGTTCAAAGCACTCAAGTGTGAAAGAAATATTTATTTTTAGTAATTCAACTCAATTTTATCTTCTATTTTGCCAGGGTGGAAACTAACTCAGTGACGTCAGGCCTCATGGCCTCCAACCACCCTCTCTCCCACACTGCTGGAACCAGGGCACCACTCTAAGAACCGTTGGGCTTATCCAATATCCAGGTATCAGGGGTGGGCTTCTGATCCTTGGTAGCTCATGTAGCCACTGTGCATCCTGGTTGGGAGGCTGTTTGCTGCAGTTTGTGATATAAACCCCCCCTGGGTCACCTCCTTTCCAAGAAAATATCTCATATTGCTATATGCCATGTGGAAGTGGACGCTTCAGGAGTGAACTCACAGAGGAGCCTGTCCAACAGGAGCAAGAGGACACAGGCCCTGGAAGAGGAGGGGTGGGTGACATCTGGGTACACACTCAGTTGAGTGGGGGAGGGCAATAGGAATTTACCATGAACATTCTGAGTAATGACAGAGGTGCACATGGGGCAGGGAGGAAGGGCATTTTCATGGAAGAGATGTCTTTTGAGCTAGACCTTGAATGATATTGCTAATTTCACATGGCAAAAATCGGTGGGTGTACACAGTGTGAGCAAAACTCAGGCTAAGGTGAAACCGGATCTGATTTCCTGAACCCACCTTCCTCAGTGGGGGGAGGGGGCAATTCCCAGGAACATGCTGGGACCAGGGCATGAGCCACATGGCTGTAGATTAACCATTCCACAAACCACAGGTCATTCTAGTGACCACCGATACAAAGAACAAAATTGTGGATAATGCCATCCCTGTGGAGATTTCCAGGCCTGAGTCAAAATTTCGAGTGCTTCCTTCATACTTGAAACTGGAGATCCAGGGGTTTCTGGGTGTGCCTTTCTCTGCTCCCTAACTGCAGTAAACATTCAATCCAGATTTACCATGGGTTCACTGACTGGCTAGCCTCTCTCCTAGAAAAGGCCTTGGAAGGGAGGAAAGATCTAAGACAACGCAGTGAAAACCAGTGGTGTAGACAGCACTGCTTGTCAGATCTGAACCCAAGCAAGGTATACTTTTATTTGCACCTTATCCATGGGAGGAATTAATAGGATCTTCAATTTCCTTTATCTACATTACTCCATTATTCAGATTAGCAGCAGCAAATGCAACCAGAAATCAACAGATGATTCAGACTTCTTCTGTAACCTTTCACTTTTCAGTCAGCAGAGTCCGTTTTATCAGGGTTTCTCGGTCATATTTCCCAACTGGAATTTAACTCGTTTCCAACTTTCTTAATACATTCATTTGAAATGCTATCCTAATCACTCTAAGTTCATTTGTTTCAGTCATACGGCACTTCTTCATAGGAATGCACCGCTTCCCCATTGCCTAGGGAAGTGTCCTGCAAATAGTAAAGGAAGAAAAACATTGTTGGATTCCGTATTTTCATTTTCCTTTGGTGTGCAACAGTCCTACTATTTCTTTGTAACAGAGTTGAGACTTTTTTTCCTAAGAAAATAGACTCACTTCACATAATAAGCTGAACTACTTCAAAGGCGCAAGTGTTAAATAACCATAGAAAATATCCACTGAGCTATTTTCCAACTGAGCCCCATGTCAGGCTCCCTGCACAGTGGAGATCCTGCTTCTCCCTCTCCCTCTGCTGCTCCCCCTGCTTGTGCTCTCTCTCTTTCTCTGTCAAATAGATAAATAAAATCTTCTAAAAAAAGATTCTCATTCAACTATTAAGTGAACCACTGCAGAGCAGGTGGCTGTATAAAGACCTAAAATTGGGGGCACCTAGCTGGCTCAGTTGGAAGAGCATGTGACTCTTGATCTCGGGGTCATGAGTTCAAGCCCCATGTTGGGTGTAGAGGTTACTTAAATAAATAAACTTTAAAAAAAAGGGGGGGAAGTAAAAGCAGAAGGGCAGAGGGAGAAGGAGAGAAGCAGACTCCCCACTGAGCCCAGAGCCCAACGCAGGGCTTGATCTCACGACCCTGAGATCACGACCTGAGCAGAAACCAAGAGTCAGACACTCAACCAACTGAGCCACCCAGGTGCCCCTAAGTGTTAATTATTAAACTAGGGGGTACAAAAATGTTTTATCAAAATAAGTTTGACTACCAACCAATAGATTCATCTTAGAGGGGCTTCTTCAACACCTCATCCTTCTAAGGGAAAATTCTTTTTTTTTAAAGATTTAATTAATTAATTATATTTATTTGAGAGAGAGCACACACATGCAGAGGGGCAGAGGGAGAGAGAGAGAGAGGGACAAGCAGACTCCCCACTGAGCACAGAGCCTGCCGTGGGCTTGATCCCAAGACCCTGAGATCATGCGTGATCTGACCTAACGTCAGACACTTAACTGACTGAGCCACCCAGGTGCCCCAGGGAAAACTGTTAAAAGGAGACTAATTTCAAGATTACTTTTACAAAATAAGCAGTCAATGGACAGCATCAATCTGGTCTTCATATGCTCAGACTGACCTCTGCCAGATAGTCTACTAACATGTTAACATTTTTTTTCCCTCTTGAACTAAATATGGCTAGGGAGCAAGCATTTTCCCCAAGTACTATCTGGTAGTTAGATTTATATAGTTCAATTCATGAATATTCATCAAAGCTTCCACACTACTTTTACAGCAGAATCCTGTATTGCACTTGGCCACCAGAGACAACCGTCCATGGGCAGAGTAGGACACTGATGAGGTTTATAAGATCTACCCACTCTCAACACTCCTTTTGATATGCTCTATGCTTTTATGAGCCCAGGCTCTCTAGCATGTATCACAGAAGTACAGAAGAGTATCTGCTGCCGGGGCAGCTGGGTGGCTCAGTTGGTTAAGTGCCTGCCTTCAGCTCCGGTTGTGATCCCAGGGTCCTGGGGTTGAGCCCCAGGTCAGGCTCCCTGCTCAGTGGAGAGCCTGCTTCTCCCTCTCCCCCTGCTTGTGCTCTCTCTGTCAAATAGATAAATAAAATCTTAAAAAAAAAAAAAAAAGAGTATCTGCTGCCTGGGCCCAATTTCAGGGGCTCGCTGCATAAAACCGCAGCTCCCTGCAAGTATCTTCTGGACTGACATCTCAAAGCTGGAGTCTACTCTGTAGAAGTCACTTATGCCCCTAAGTAGCCAATGGAGACAAGTTTGATGTGTATGGTGCAAACCTGCTGAACTTTAAGAAAAAGTCCTGTGTTCCAATTCATATAAAATTGCAGGTAATAAGCAAGAATGACCCTGAAAATAAATACTTTTCCATTTCTAATATTCTTTTAAAATAATCTCTTTCTGATAACAAAAATTACATAATTACTTTTAAAATTTTGTAAAAGAAGGAAAAAATAGAGGAAATAAAAATTACCTATAATTCCATCACCAAGTTATATTAAAATTTTGGTTTTGTTGTCCCCATCTTTTTTTTTCTGTGTATGTATGTGTGCAAGAATGTAGGTGTATACCGTGACCTGTATCCATCCATTTTGTAGCTTGTCTTTTTCACTAGTATTATACTGTGATTACTCCTCCATTTACACATACTCTTTAACACAATTTTTATTTTATCAGGTCAACAGATCATAATATATGTAACCAATGTCTTATTATTAAACACTGGCATTGTTTCTAAACTATGCTGAATGGCCTTGTATATAAATATTTGACCAACTATTTTATTATGTCTTTAGGACACACTCTCTAAATAGGCTCACTGGGTCAACAGGGCGTATGAACATTTTTAAGATTCCAAATACAAGCACTGCTAGAATTACTCTCTGAAAATGTACCAAGTTCAACTTCCACCACAGCATAGCAGTGTCATCTTCATTTTACCCTCACCCTCACTGAGAATTATAATTTTAAAAGTGCTTTGCCAAGTGGATAAGCAAAACTCCGGGATTTCAGTCTAACTTACATATTCACACTTATTCATACTCCTTTATACTTATTTATGCTCATTTTACTGCATTTTTTCTGTTAATTATACATTCATGCCCTTTGCTAATTTTTCTACTAGTTCATTAATATTTTTCCTATTTATAAGAGTTCTTTAAATATTAAGGCTGTTGACTCTGTTGATCTCAATGTGGTACACATAAACTAAGGTCTGCTAATCCAAAGATACCCTGAATTATTAGTTCAGGTATGGTATGACTCCTCCTTTGGCTCAGTAAGTTCTTTCCAGAAAAACAAAACAAACAAAACCCCAATTCATAAAGTATAGAACAAGTCCACTAAATACTGGGGAGTCTAAGGTACAAAGTGATCAAAAGATAAACTATGAAGTAGAAATAGCCTATGTACTCCAACTTACTGAACATACCTCTACACTGGAAAATCCTGGAGAATTTTTTCCTCAGATGTTTTTTAAAAAACATGTGACTTTGGGGCACCTGGGTGGCTCAGTTGATTAAACATCCAACTCTTCATTTTAGCTCAAGTCATGATCTCAGGGTCTTGAGATCAAGCCCTGCCTGGGGCTCTGTGCTCAGAGGGGAGTCTGCTTGAGATTCTCTCTCTCCCTCTGCCCTTCCCCCTGCTCGCCCATGTATGCTCTCTCTCAATCTCTCTCTCTCTCAAATAAATAAGTCCATTTTTAAAAATGTGATTTTGGGGCACCTAGGTGGCTCAGTCAGTTAAGTGTCTGCCTTTGGCTCAGGTCATGATCTCAGGGTCCTGGAATCGAGCACCCTGTCGGGCTCCCTGCTCATCGGGAAGTCTGCTTCTCCCTCTCCCTTTGCCCCTCCCCCTGCTTGTGCTGTCTCTCTAATAAATAAAATCTTTAAAAAAAATTAAATTAAAAAAATGTGACTTTAAGAATGGATTTATGTAAAAGAATACTGATGTGTAACTCAGCAGTTAGGCAGTTACAATGCTATTATTTAATAAAACCCACTTCCATCTTTCATCTGTAAATGGGTTATATCTGTGGTAGAATACTTGTAACTTTTTCTGTTTTTAGTCAATTCCTTTACTATGAAATGTCATTTAGAAATGTTTTTTATTTTTCTTTGTACAATAATTTTTAACATTTTATTAATTTTGCTGTGGAAAATAAAATTCCATCTTACAAGAAAGAGAAACTCCTCAAGACCAAACGCTGGCATCTTTATTTATATATTAGAGCGGGTCAGCCAGTGAAAATCCTAGAAAAAGAAAAGACAACAAACATTCATTAAAAAGAATTAATTGCCTCAAACTCTATCCTCACTGTTTTCCTTGTTCTAAAATCTAAAAGTCCCATTATATATCCACATTTAGGTTTGTCTTTGGTCTTGTGCTCTTCCCAAAAGGAAGCTAAAAATTCATACTGAACCTTGCTGTCTTGTCCTACAAAACAACTATGAACAGTAATCAGGGCACAAACACTAGAATCTGAAAGAACCAGAAGTAAATTCAAAAGAAGAAAGGAGATGAAGGAAGGCCAAAGAGGGCAAGCTCCCAAATCTAAGAACCTGGGTAGGAAGAGCAGTGCACAGAAGCCTTCCCCAGGACTAATACCATCCTACACATGTGGCTGGGACATGGTGACTGCAGAGAATTAGGTCCTCTCTATATTGTAATAGGAAGCAGCCAGCCTACCCTACACTGCGAATCAACAACACATGGCAGATGGACACACAGACAATGAAAAATGAACAGCTTGGAAACTATAATATGTGTGGAATTCACTGAAATGAGGACAAATAATGTTGAAAGGATAGATTCAAGAAATATAAGGATAATCCTTATGGAGTTATAACAGAGGAGACAAGAACTTGTATTTCTCCAGCAATACCTCCCCAAATTCATAGAGAACTTGGAGAATAGATCATTAGAAGCAGATCATTAGAAATGTGAATTCACTAGCGAGAGGGGACAATTCATTAGGGCTTTTCTGTGACTAACACGGTCTCAAGACTGTCTATTTTGTGTGTGTGTTCTGAATATAGCTGTTAAATCCATCTGTTCTAATGTGTCATTTAAGGCAATGTTTCCTTATTGATTTTGTGTCTGGATGATCTACCCACTGATGTAAGTGGGGTGTATTAAAATCCCCTATTTTAATCCACTATTATTGTAGTGCTATTTCTCCCTTTAGGTCTGTTAATATTTGCTTTATATATTTAGGTGCTCCCATGTTGTGTGCATAAATATTTACAAATGTCGTACCTTCTTTTTGGATTAACCCGTTAATCACTCTGCAGTGT